CATATGATATGAGCTCTCTCTCTCTCTCTCTCTCTCTCTCTCTCTCTCTCTCACATAGTGCGTTTCGATATCTCACTCTCAACTCTCAAATCAAACTCAGGTCAGGTATCTACTTCAAATAACCGCTGTAACTGCTTTTCTTCTAATTCATTACAAAAACTGAAATTCACTGTCCAAATAAACCGAAATACACATTTTAATTTAACTATTTTTATGTCCCCAAATTTGTTGAATTGCCCTAAATTTGCCATCAATTTTGCATCCAATTCACTTTTGCAGTTGCCAAAATACATAGAATTTTGATCGAATGCTTCTTCCCAGATCATGCTTTCTGTTGTTCATCACTTTTTTATTATTTTATAATTCATATTCATTTTTGGCTTATAACCACACCGTAGGCATACTCTGTCAATAATCGAATCTTCAGTTACTATTGAGCTAGGAAACATTTCAAGAGATTGTATGCATTCAGGAGATTGAAGCTCGCATTCCCATAATTTCAGCCATTGGATCAAAATTTTATACTGGTCTCATATGCTATTTTCTGATCAAAATCATTTTCCAGAAAAACACACAAAAACTCAATCTGATTTCTATTATTATTTTGCTCAATAAATTCTCTCCCTCTATTTACTCAATTTCTTCACAACTTATATCCTATAGTAAGTCTCAAATGCTGAATAATTAATACTCTTTTTGCAGGACAGCACCTTCTCTTGGAAAGCTTTTCATTTGCAAGGTTCCTTTACGTGTCATTTCCAAGGTAGGGTTTACCATTGTTCATAGACTTTTGTTTTTCTACAAAAGCAATTGTCACAACCAGGGGAGATGGAAAGGTTCACCTGGAGTATCTGGATTGACACATTCCTCTATTGTTGTATTGTTTTGTCCTCTATTGTTGTTTATTTGGTGCTCTTTTGACTTTCAGAGGTGTTTTCATATTTGAGAATCCAGTAAATGCATGCGTACATATGTTGAAAGTATTCCACATGATTTCTTCTCGAAGAATTTTCGCGATAATATTTTCTTTTCAGATTTCCTGATGATTGCAACACCTTCTAATTTCTTTTTCTTTGCATTTAGAAGTATCTTGCTGAGCTGAGGTATGGAAACAGAAAGCACTTTGGTTAACATCCATATTGAATAGTGGTGAGAAGAAACAGGATTTCACAATCGGATGCTGAACCTGAACACATTATGTATCAGAAAACACATGAAGGTAAAGCTCTGTGCATGATCTTTTCTTTGCCTTTAATTTCTGGAGGGTCTTAAACTTTGCCATTAGCAATTGGAATAACGGTTGTCATTTACCGACAATTTAAAGTTGGGGACCTCTAATCACTTGGGATAACGGTTGGCCATGCCATTCTTTGATTCTGTCTTGTTTTATGGGCAGGTATCAATGTTGGGGACCTCTAATCACTGTCACTTTTAGCTTGTATGTCTCAAACACCGAATTTGAAGTTCACCGACAATTTCTTAGAAGCTTATGAGAGCTCTTTTTATTTGCGAGGTGTCTTTACATGAGCTTATTTGCAAGGTTTCAAACGCCGAATTTGAAGTTCACCGACAATTTCTCAGAAGCTTATGACATTATTGCGTTGTGTCCAAAAGTGACATACCAATGTAGGAGATTAGAATTCCACCTCACGAGATGTTGGTCAAATTGACATCACTCGAGTTTTTGTGTGTACAAAATAGCTGTGATTCAATGAGGTCGTTCCCGTTGAGCCTTTTCCCTAAACTCTCGGTTCTTATAATTTGGGAGTGAGAATCTAGAATCCCTTTCCATTGAAGAAAGAGTTGATGAGAATCTCAGTCATCTCAGTACCTTGTCTATCAATGACTGTCCAGAACTGGTGTCTTTTTCCCAATGCATTCACACCCTCACAGCACTGGAGATGACTGAACTTCCAAATTTAGTGTCATTTGCAGAAGGCGGTTTATTTCTGCATTCAAAATTTTGACAGACTGGGGCTTCAGTGGGAGAGTACTGGGGTTTGCAAGGCCTCTTCTCCCTTCAACACTTTTCAATTGGTGGCAGGGGAAGTGACGATTTCTTGGAGACGTTGCTCAAGGAACAGCTGCTCCCACTCTTCACTCTCTTCACATCTGGGGACTTTCAAGTCTGAAATCTTTGGACGGAAAGGGACTTGGACACCTCACTTCTCTTCAAGAGCTCTATATTAGTGAGTGTGACAGTATCCAATTCCTGCCAGAAGAGGGTTTCCCGCCATTTCTTTCGTTTCTGAGAATCTCCAACTGTTCTGGCCTGGAGAAAAGGTGTGAGAATAAGAAAGATTGGACAAGATTGGGCCAACATATCTCACATTCCTTGCCTCGACATAAATGATATTGCTTTTCAATATTTCACTCTCAACTCTCAAATCAAACAAAGGTATGTACTTCAAATAACTGCTTTAACTGGTATATAGCCTTTTGTTTTTCTACAAAAACAATTGTCACGACGTGGAGAAACGGAAAGGTTCACCTGGAATATTCAATTGACACATTCCTACATACAGGCACGGAGTGTACAGCATTTTTGGTCTAGCTTATCCAGTAGATAACTTGTCCTTGGTTTTGTGGAATGTAATATTTTTTCTTTCCTAATGATAGTCTAAGACATGCTTTGCACGTTTGTAGGATAGTTCTCCTATTTGGTGGTACTTTCTATATATAAAAACAGTAGTAACAAAAACAATTTCTTGTGGGTGGTTATCGTATATAGTATAGAATGACATGTACTTACATACCAAAAGATTTTATTCAACTGCAAGGGAACTGAGTTCAGTATAGAAAATGTGATCCAGAGCATATTGGTTGATTTTATATGAGACTTTAGATTAATAGCAGCATCAACTGGGGCCTTTATGACTCTATTATGTAATTAATTATTCTCTTTTTGTTTTTGTACTGTTAAAAGGAGTCGGCCACACGGAATAAAAAGTAAGGATGGGAGCCATCTTATTTCATACAATTTTTCAAAAGTGTTCATTCATCCCATTGTTCTTCAACAATGAAGGAATTTATTTTCCCTATCTGCCTGGTCCGTCTGCTGCTTCATTGCCTAGCAGCTTTATCTATATGGTTGCGGCGGGTTAAGGAGGTAAGATTGAGCTGGATTAACCCTGCTTTGTGTAATGCATTGTTGTTTGTGAAGCTTAAATTTTTTAGAGGAAAGAAGTGGACTACGGTTTTGGGAGATATGATGTAATGACAATTTACTGGGCTGTTTGGTGTAATAGGCATAGGAGGGTCTTTGATGATATGAAGTGAGAGGTAGTGTGGATCAGTTGTGGAAGAGGGTTCAGGGAGTTTTCTTTCTCTGTCATCTATTCAAATAGGTAAGCAGCTGTAATTTAGATCTTTTTGATGGAATGCTTCTGTTTTGCTCATTTGGTGTTTGAGTTGTTCAGTAATGGTTTTCTCATTTTGATGAAAAAAAGTTGAGGGGGAGATTGGCTACTCTCACCACTAGCACTAGGGCGTACCCACAACCTTGAGCCGGAAGGACTTACGCATGGCACCCAACTGACAGCTGCCACCGGTATGAATTTACGTAGGAATTTACAGATCGCGCACCAACGAGATACTTTGTTTTGGCTTGCTAATGGTGGATACTTTGCTATTGTTCTATTATTTTTTTACTGAAAGTTGTGTTTCTCATTTTTTTTTTAAACGAATAAATTTTGTACATATGCACAATTTACAAAGATACAGAAATAGGACTATAAGTTGAAGGCATATTACATATCTAGAGGGTAAGTATCAACTAAGAATCAGTTAACCTGTTCTTAGAGCCTAATTCCTTATTTCCAGAAGTAGTGTCTTCCAACATGATTGAGGTATTCTTATGGTAATTGGCATACATATTGCATTTATAATATCTTATGTGCAAATGATTTTCTCCTTTTTGACGTCCCACAAATCATTCCTTTAGCTGCAAAGTTCTATTTCATGAGACTTGAGATGTGTACTTGCAGACTTGAGAAATTATCCCATGTCTGGAGGACAAAACAACGTGTGTAGGCAACCATGCATGATTTCCGAGTTGATGCTGATGCTGCAATCATAGATGTCACCTTAACTGCTTACTTCAATGTAAATGCCTTTCTCTAAAAGGGTCTATGTAGATTAATTTTTCAGCAAGATTTAATATGGTTCATTTAGAATCCTATTTCCATCAATTTATTTATATGATTCGAATTTGAACTTCTAGGAACAGACCAAGCATGTTCATACATGGTATGGCTCTTTCACTTCATCATCATTTGAGACAGAACATCAGCCTTCAACTGTCTGCTGCTGAGTCAATAGACTTTCAACATATCTCAAGTGCAATGGAAAATTCATGAATTACATAAAGATTCGCAATGATTTTTCTGTTCGAAATTTTCTACTGGAGGCTGGAAATGCTTCTTATAAGTGGTTAAGTTGCAATATATTTTGTGGGATCAAAGACTGTCCAGGGAGACCTTGTGCATATTTTGTAGATATTGGACAAGTGGTACACAGCAACCATTTTCTGTGAGCTTCTTCGATAAAGAGAACTGGTCTGCTTTTTGGGTCACAATAGATAATAACACAAATCAATTAGGTCTAAGTTCCAACTCTAGAGGCAGTCCAAAGCCATAAACAAATAAATCTCTTGTGGACCAAAAAAAACCCCTCAAACTCTTGCAATACAACAACTTAAGCACCTTGAAACCTGCAACCTCTATTGTGCCCTAGAAGTCAGTGGTTCGAAACACGAAAGAGCGCCTCTCATCACTTTGTTTGAAGCCTCAAAGTGAATTCCTGCGAAGTCAGAAGAATTTCCTTCAACCTCTCCTTGTCCTGTGCATCAACCAAGTTGCCATCACTGTCGAACTTTTCAGGAGCTTGAGTCCATCCAAGAAAAACTCGGGCTTGTTACCGAAATGAAGGTCAAGAGACTCTCTGACTTTGGCGAACATGATATTGGTATCAGCCGCCACCAAAGCCTCCAAATTGTGGACATGATATTGGAAATCGCCCTTATCAAAATATCCACCAATTGATTACTTCACAAAATTAAGGAAAATGAATCTCTTTAGCCTCAAGCTTCTTTTTTGTGTGGGTAAAGTTAGGATGAAGCGTGACCATTTTCTCACAAATACATTGCCAAAGTGCCATGAATGTTCGAACTTGACATCACTCATCTGCAAATTAAGACTGTTTTCTACACATGTCGACACATTAAAGGCCTAAAGATAGGTGCATATAAAGAGTAAGGATAAAGGAGGCCGTACCGCCTGTCATCGTGCTAGGCACATCAGTGCTCATTGGTATTTATCCTTATTAAAGCTAAACCATGATGCATAAGGTCCAAAAATGATCAAGCTAATGCCAAGCTAAACTATGACAAGCTACTGAAGGTCGCACAAAAATGAGTGTCAAAAAACGCAAGAAAATAATTATTAAACATCTACAAAATTTCTCAACGACATATATAGATGACAGATAAAATAAATTTTGCAAAGTGCGATTCAAAATACCATATAGAATGAAAACAAACATCTAATACAATCCCAAGACTGCTGGGCAAACAAAACTGCTATTGTCTCATAATACAGAATGTCATCCGCTCTTAAAAGCAAACTT